ATTCCTGATTTGTTTACAAATATTATAAAATTTGAATTTACGCTGAAATTTTAAAATGTTTTCGTTCGCTAGGAGTTTTATTATTTATTTAATTAATTATCTTCTAAATAAACGTGGTAAATATGAATCGGAGTCGTTCTTTAACATTTGGTATCGACTTGAATATATTATTTCATTTGCATTTTGTTCTATGTTTTCGGAATTTTATGTTATTTATGTGTTTTATGAATAGACAATGAAAAACGTTCATAATAATTTTTAGAATAATATATTGTATCTTATTGCTCAATTTTAGGTACTATCAATTGTATATGGTCTTATTGACCAAACTATAAAAGGTCGTGATATCTTTGACGCATGTTACATGTTTTTCTTTTTGATTGGCTTCATGTTGATTTATCTATCTCTCATAAGAGATCGGAATAAGGTATTTATATGAATCGTTCGCATGTGTTTATAAATTCTTTTAATTAATAAATTTACTATGAAAACTGTATCAGGCTGATGAAATTATAAAAAAAATCGAAATTTTGTGGAAAAAATGCGAAAATCGCACAGAGAAGCATATTATCTTAGACCATGCAAAAGTTGGTTTCGTCATATCATTAATTTATGGTGGTTAGTAGTTAATTAAAATAATATTTCTTGCTATCGATTTATATTCCTTACAAATTACAATGATTTGTGCAGAGAGGTAACTCAAGTTTTAATGCATCAATTTTTTGTCCAAAAAGTTTTTGGAGACCTTAACCCTTTAACGCCCGAAGTGACCACTTTTGGACAACATTTATAGCGATGAATTACACCGACTAAAAATTGTTTAAAACTTTCAGTTTCATTTTTGATTTTTGATTTTGGCTGAGAACGTTCAAGAATTTTTAACTCGATAACCATCAACTTTGCGAGAAAAAGTTATAGAACAAAAAGGGTTTAGAATTGATCAAAGAACACTCTTGATTTTTTCAGAATTTGTCGGAACGATTTTTGAATTTTTGAAAAAATGGTGTTATCCAGAAATCCAAAAATCGCTCCAAAAATTCTGCAAAAATCCAGGCATGTTCTTTGATCAATTCTAAACACTTTTTACTCTACAACTTTTTCTTGTAAAGTTGATGGTTATCGAATAAAAATTGTCGAAATAATTTTATGACATACAGGTCTTCGAAAGCCGAATTTATGATCGCCATTTTGAATTTCGTCATTATAACTATTTTACAATAAAGTATACATGCCATTGACCAAATTTATATGCGTGAGACCCACGAGCGAACCTTCTTTCCGTGTTGAATTTTGAGTTGAACGAGATTTTCTTCTCGAAATTTCATGTTTTTTTTTACAAAATTGTTTATAACTTTTTATTGAATGATTTTTTTTTAATTCTGACCCCGGATTCGAAAAGTACATTAAATTTAACGTGAGACCTCATGTCTGAAAAGTTTTTTAAACAATTTTTAGTCAGTGTAATTCATCGCTATAAATGTTGTCCAAAAATGGTCAAAATGGTTAAAAGAGGCGTCCAAAGTTCTTTTTCTTTTTTTTTTAAATAAATTTCTTTAAATAGTTTCGTGAAAAATATCACCCTCCTATTCGGATAGTGATTTTGTGAGTAATTATACAATCTTTTCGTAGGAGTTATGTTGGTTACTGTTTTTTCATATGCGATTGAACCAGTTGTAAAAGTATCAATAACCAAATGGTTATCAGCCAATAACTCGTTTACAGAAAGCACACGTCCTCCCATCTATTTTCCTATCATCCTGAAAAAGTATTATTGGATCAACATATGTTTATACACAATGTTTATTTACATAATTGTTGCAACAATCTGCATGATAAATTACCTTAATATTTACTTCATTAAATATATCGTAGGAATGTTTTCATTTATAGGGTAATTATACTATTACATTTTTTTGAGAAATATTTTTAACATCTACATTATCTTCAAATTAGACACGATATGCTCAATACTTATGAGGAATTAGAATCTAGATCCATATTATTGATAAAAAAACAAAAAATGAAAATAATCTATGAAAATATTCGCATTAACATTCGTAAACACCAAGAAGCTATCGAGTTAAGTGATCTTGTTTTTATTTACATTTGAAAGATAGTTAGAAGGCTATAGCAAAAATCAACTGTTCGACGTGGAGCATGATGTATGATTGACTGAAATTGAATTTATCAATTTCAGACTATTCAAAAGTGTACAACAAATAACTAAAATAAAGTATTTGATAATATTAACATTTATAACCTTGGAATTAAGTTTATCGGGGTTCTGGGTTTGTATTTTTATGAATTAAAATTAATTTTTCAAGATCTAAATGTTATAATTCCTTTATTTCTGAAAAACTATTGTTAAAAAAATTCAAAGACATGATATTTTAGTTTGTGGTTGTATTCTCGTACGATAAAATGTACGCTTTGGAATTGGCCGTAACAATGATGACAATTGTAACTATTCTATTGTACATGATTTATTCAAGCCAAGATTTGATAGATGCCGGCGAAAAATTAAATAGGGATTGGTAATTGGATCACATAATTAAATATAACACAATATCTACACAAAACTATATTCAGAATACTTTTTTCCAGTTACCACGCCAAATGGTACTTATTTTCGGTAAAAGAAAGGCGTTTGATTCTACTAATGATTCTCCGAACTGCGAATTACTGCACGCTGACGGCCGGTCCTATGATTCCTATGAATTATGAGACTTCTGCCACTGTGAGTTATTGGAAATGAGTGAAATAATTTTATTATTTTAGAGTCAATATTTCAGATAGATGATTTATTTTGTAGATTTTAAAAATGGTACTATCATATTTGACGGCGTTTCGGCGTATTTTGGAAAATATGTAATAATTTTTCGATGGTTTCAAAGCAATTCAATATGCTTTAAGAGTCTCATACTAAATATTGATTAAATATATACACTTGTTTTAATATTGATACCACAATTTTGACGTATACTAATCAAAAGTGTTCGTTTTTTCAAACATGTTATGGTCACATTTTTTCTATTTAATTTCCATTTCTAGTGTCCGCCATCTAGTGTCAAACGTTTGAGTTATTAATTTCGCCTTCAAAGTAGTTGAAAACTGGTCTAACTCTTTTAAATAAACTTTAAACGGTTATTTTTCATTAATATAGAACGAGCTTAATATGCTGCAATATAAGACATTTTTAATTGTACTTTTTTTCGTCTGACCATACGACCATTATTAATATTGCACATTTATACCAAGGTTTACAAATAATGTTTTACTCGCCAATTTCTTCATAATAAAATATCAGTTCAATCAATACGACAAATTTTAATTTTTGTTCCTCGTCAATATATTCATATTTGGTAATCTAGCATTCAGCCGCGAAAAGAGCAGCTACGCCGAAATCCTCATTAGGCTGAGGGCAATGTAAATGTTGTGCGACCAAGCCGCTGCTACCTGTTTTTTACTTCCTGATTAAATTCTGGTTAATACAAAACCTTTCATAACGTATTCTTTACTATAATGATAATAAGAGTGATTTTTCAAAGTAGTTACCTGGTCAAACAACAAATGAAACAAAAAATACACGAAATTCATCGCTTGCAAATTCACGCGTACGTGAACCGAAGACGAAAAAACAGAAAAGAAAACAGAAAAAGTGAAAGTGAGAACGAAATCCGAAATTGCACTTTCATTGGCAGGACGACGCGATTTAGCGCATCACGTTTTGTGCCTCAAGAGCATGTGTGTGTGTGTGTGTGCTGCGTCTGATTTCTTACCCCCACTACACGTGATTGGAAAAAAAATACAGACAGGGGCTCGCGTGCTTTCTTTTTGACTTCAAAGAAAGAGAGAGAGAGAAAAGACAAGTGCCATCGCGTAAGCTTCGATTGCTACACAGGCGTTATTGTGTGCCGCATGCACATTATATGCACTATAGGGCAATCGATGCTCTTGCCATTCGTAATTATTATTAAAAAGAAGTATTTTACTTATCGTCACGTGCGATCAATAACGACGACGACAACGTTGAAATGATTTTTCCATTTTGACATCCAATGCCATTAATTTAGCACCGAAGTGTCTGGATAGACTTAGGTATTGCACGCGGAAGTTGGGAAAACTTCACTCGATCGCAACGAAATCAGGGGCAAATTAGTTGGATACATGCCATGTATCGATTTTATAAAAGCTGCCATACACACATATATTCCCTCGTGTATGCAGTGTGCCGGCTCGAATTATCTCTCTCGCGCTCTTTTCTTCTTGCACAACCGGACAATGATCGACCGAGCATGTGTGCGGCTATGATAATGAGAAAAGAGAATGCCACGTAATAATATATAGAAAGTTTCTTTGGCTCGGTCGCGATCGAGAGTGAGGACCCGCATGTGTATTGCATTAAAAGCTTGTGCGCGCCCCCCATTTGATTTCCATTGCAGCGGCTCTCGCGGAGCTGAGAGCAATTTTATAAACGCCGAGATCGGCGGGCGGGCCGGCCCCGTGTGTATACGCGAGGATTGAATGCGGTTACTCCCAAAGCTATACACCCACAATCGCGGCGGTTGTGCGGCACACGCGATATCTGCCGTACCGTCATTTGTACGTGTGTCATTTGTATAAAATGTGCATTATTATATCGTATGCGCTATATAAACGTCGTGTGCTCGTGCTGGATAATACGAGAGTGGCTAATCGGCAATCATTTATGACGTAATTTTCGCATACATATACCTCGAAGTTGGTACACGCGAGGCAGATTTTTATGCTTTTTTTCGCGTGCGCGTTCGCCAATGCATATGCATAATGCTTGTAATAGGCAGAAGCTTTCGCGGTTAGCGCAGCGGCTGTGACGATTTGTCATGCCCGCTAATGATGACTTAACGAGCGACTGTGACGCGGTCGTCTTTACCGATCTTTATGCTCGTGTCGCGCAATTTACAATATACTAATCTTATAAAATTATTATTACAACAATCATATTTATAATTGTTTTTCAGGCGACAAATGGCTGGTAGCCTGCATGGGCTTGCTCCATCTCAACAAGGGCCTGTTTTACCGAGTCGTTCCAGCGGATCAGGGCTTCGGTCCTTTGACGGATATCGACGTCGGCTCGAACTGCAGCAGCGACTACACGGGGGTGTTTCGTTTTCGGCTGTGGTGGTGCGGCGCCTGGGTCGAGGTCCTCGTCGACGATCGTCTGCCCTCGGTACACGGCAGACTGGCCTTCCTGCAGAGTCGACACAGCGATCAGTTCTGGCCGGCGTTGCTCGAGAAGGCATACGCCAAGTAAGTTCATAAGTATAATTTATAATTTCTTAATGTGGCATTATTGTAGTGATCGTTGCGCCACTATGAATTTTCCCCCTTATTAATTTTTTTACGAAATCGTCCACGAGAAAATAGAAAAAGAGACAATGTAACATCGCGACGATTCACGCGCTCGAAACGGAATATAATAGAGAGAAGCTCGAGAGCGATCTCTGCTGCAGTGCAGCGGCACGAGATACACATATATATGAGCGATGAAAAATAATGATATAATAATATCTCGAGTCATAAATATTACAAAAGCGTAGGCCTACACACGTATGTAAGTGCGTCGTCGTCGCGCTCGATCAAGGAAAATCGTAGGTGTCGTCGTCGTCTTCTTCTTCAATATGTGTGCGCTCATACATATATATACACATTATATTCTCCGCAAGTGCAACTCGTCTTATTGTGGACAAACTTTAAAATTATAAATGTGCACTCGAAGTAGAGAAGAGATGAAGAGAGAGAAAAATTCGAAATTATGTGCGCAAAATAGCTTCATTATAAAGCCACAAGCCCGAGCGCGCGATATATATCCAAGTCGCGAATGGAATATACGTATCTCGAAGCGAGTCGATATGCCGTATAGTATGTAATATGTAAGATGCACCGCGAGATCGACCGACCGACCGAGGAGCAGATTGCATAATCGCGAAACGAGAAAATGTATTTATAGATCGTAGAGTTTATCCACCTTCTCGTCCTCGTCGTCGTTGATCCTGCTTGCAAGATACATAGCTGCTGCCGATGCTGCATCCTGTGGGGCGCGTGGGTGCGACTCGATCATGTGTGTGTGTGTAAGTGTGCTGTGTGTATGCCTAGCCGATATCGATCGGTTATAATGCCACGCGGCTATATAGAAAAGGATATAACATCGCGGGGTGTACAGTACAGGACTCGATTTTCTTATCCGCGACTTCGGCGTCCACCGCTGCGAACGATATATCCTTATAATATATTTTTTTTCTGCAGACTAATCGCCTCGAAGGCCAAAACGCTTCTTTTTTTTTCGCTGCTACGACGCACACACGTGCCCTTGGTTTTTCGCAGGCAGCTCGTAAAGATGCTCCGGCTTCTTCTTTTTCTTCGTCTTCTTATCCTTCTTCGTTTTGGCCGAGCTTGAAAAATAATAGTCACGCGAGAGAGGACGAAGGGGGTATACTATAATCACGATTTACGATCGTTTTATGCAAAATCATTATCGCCCCGCGCGGATTTATTTATTGTATACGAGCGATTCTTTATCGCGTCGATATAACTAACAGGTGTTAATTTCGGGCACGATCGGCTTTTGCGAACGAGCATGATTTATCGCTTCGAACGTCAATCCTGCTATATTTTGCATAAAGAAAGGAGAAAAAAATATCGTATCTTAATACAGTCTCTGGTGCTACAACATTTTTTTCTGCAATCGATTGAAACGTTAAGGATTTATCTCAACGGTCGCTTTCCGTAACAAATTTTTCTTACCGGATTCCAAGTACGTGACTCCGATATTGTGTGCGTCGATCCCCGCCTAATAGCTTCGAAACTATTCTCATTGAAATTCCGAAACTCTCGCCGGCGTTTAGTTATACAAAGTACATATTTACTGCCACGCGGCTTTTTTCTGCGTCTCGAGCTGCTCGCTCGTTCGATAATCGCGCACGGCATTTTTCAAGTTTAACTATACGCGCGCGTCGATACGTAAACACCGCGATCGAGTGCAGTAGCTGCCAATGTCATTCCGAGCGCGTCTCGCTCGCTTACGAGGCATATAAATCGTTATTTTATATATACATATAGACAGCTGTGCGTGTACCTGTATGAAAGAAAAGAGACCGGCCTCTCGCGCCATGGCATTCGGTGAAAGCTCATCTGTAATACTCGCGGCGCGCGTGTACGTACCGCCGATGGTCCGATGCCACTGCTGCTGCTACGGCTGCTGCTGCTGCTACGATACTAATACGGCAGCGCACGCGAGTTCGTGTCCACTTGGAAAATTTTAAACGAAACGATTTTCACTTCGACGACGGCATGCCAGTATAGAGTCCTAATCGTAATGCGCCTGCCAATATACGAGTGAACAACTTTCCACGAGGCTTGAATGAGCGAGTAGTGCTCCGAGGCTGCGCTAATGGATTTTTTATTGATCAATCGGTTTTAAGGAATCGAGCTTGAAAAAAGACGCGCGAGACATCGATAGAATCGTAATTTGATGTACTGCGCTTAATACTTTGTTACTAACTGCACGATTTTCAAAAATACGCACGTGCCTATATATCTAATCTCGAGCTTGCGCGCACACATTATATTCAATCTAAAACAATTTACAATCCACTTTCGCATTTCACTCACATTTATGCGGCTTGAGCGTGACACCTCGCGTGCTCGTATATCCGAAATAAAAAGAAGAAGAAAAAGATCGCAAAAATTAACATGCATTTCCCGCGCGTATCGCGATTAATATTAATAGTCGAGACTAGTAAATATACATACAGAAACACGAACGAGACCTCGCGAGAGCCGGGGCGACTCATTAATATGAATAAATACGCGCGCGATATATTAATTGCTGCTACCGTGCATATTGCTGTATTTATTGTGCACACCTGTTGAATATATACACCCGATTTATATTATATTAAATGTGTATCGATTTCTGCATCTTGCATTTCTATGTTTGCACACACACACACACACACACACACACACACACACTTCATAAGCCCAGCTGACCGATAGTATAACACTGCACACGGTGCACACAGCCGCCGTAGAGCCGCATGTTTTCGATCGTGCGCCAAAAACTTTCTATTTCGTCGATACGTATACAACACCGATTCGGACGGAGAAAGAAGCATTTTTTTTTTAAACTTTAGCGTGTTATATGTGGGCACTGTATCGAGAGAGAGACGCAGGTTTAACGAGACCAAAAAGCTAAATCTCCGCGTGCTGCAACTGGGTCAAAGACACGTTTGTGCGTATATAAGAGCTCTACAAGTGCACGAGTCTTGTTGTTTCTCTGGTTTTTTTTCCTCGGCGCAACCATTCGAACGGATCGTAAAATATTCATTCGTTACAGATTTACCGCACACGCGGCGGGCACGACGGTTATACAACGAATGAATATTCATTCAACTTGGCCGCGCGCGCGAGTGATACACATTATATGTATGCGTATTCACCGATTATTAAATGCACTCGAACTTAATGTACTGCGTTCGGCCATTAAAAATCTCTCGAGGATCGTCAATTTCGTAATAATAAATTTTCTATTAAGCTGCAATTTCAAGTCTTTTTTTCAAGTAAATCGCGCGAAATTAGTATAGATCGCAGCCTGCACACACGCATTACTATATCGGAAACCAATATTAATAAACGTTGGATTTTTTTTCCCATACAAGTGTAAATTGACTTTCGTTGCGTGGCCGAAAGCCACGCGAGCACGACATTAATTGCACTATACGGTACTGCGTACGGCTAATAGGGTACGCGTAATCGGGGGGATATATTACTGTATAAAAACACTTAATTTCACTTTTCCCTAAATGTTATGAAAGTTAATATACGCGAACCGGCGGTGGCGAGCTAATGCCTGCATACATACATACAGCTTTGTGCACGTATAGGAAGTTTCCACGCGCTAGCCTATAGGCACGCGGCGGGCATGTATGATAATTCTTATCATTTTCTCGGCATATACGGCAGTTCTTCGAGCGAAAACTCGTTAATATTTAGGGGGTTCTTTTTTTTTAAATAATACAGCATACAACTCGAGTGAGCGAGAGAAAATGTGCGTGCGTGTAGTACTCGAGAATTAGCATAAATATGTGTGTCTTTACACGCGATAAGGCGCACAAGCGTATGATATACATTAACCAATGCAGAATTGATGGACCTCAGAAGCTTCCTTAATCTTCGATTTAACCCCCCTTCTATACTTATAGACTTTTCTCGACTTTGCTCGTGGCTGCTGCGAGAAGAGAAGGACTTTCACTTATGGTCTCGAGTCTCGTTTAAATCCGATCCCCCATACATGCATGCTTGCGCCTTACTGCGACAGGCCATGACGAACAATGCTCGAGATCGTGTGCACATGCGATGTATCGAGGAGGACAGCTCGCGGAGGAGTTCATTGAACTCCCTCTCGATCGGTTGCCAATCGACATTATATACGATGAACGAAATGAGAAAAAAAAATTCGCGGTTCGGTTGGCGGTCATTTTGTGGTTTTATTTCGATCGTCGTAATGTTGAGCAAGGAAGATTTCGTACTTCGACGAGCGTCGATTCGCCCTTGCTGATATAATAAATGTATGAATGCCGATTTATTCGATAATGTTGGACGCAAGTGCGTAAGATTGATTATAAAGAATATTTAACGATACCCTAGCGGAAAATTCTTAACATTTTACGATTAGGTTTTGGCGAACCGAAAAATTTCTTGGGCGAGAGAAGGTCCTTTAGAACTGGAAACATTCAAATATGACTTGTAACGATGTTACGTCGGCCAACTCAGAGTCCGACGGTGATTTTCCCTCCACTTTTTTCCTCAATTGGACTAGAAGGTCAATAAATAGTCCCCGAGATTCCGAGCTTGAGAGCTGTTTCTTGAAGAGGACTTGGCTGGCCTATTACTCGTCTATCCTCGCTTTGTTTGATCCGTATAACCCAGATTGTAGATACTGTTGAGACTCCAACCGTATTATAAAACTGATTTATAGAATTTTTTTGTCTTTGCCACTTGCAGATTTACACGGAAAAAGTACGTTGCCATCTAGCGGCGGAAGCTCGAAGTTGTATCATTGTAATTAAAATGGTTTAAGACGATAAAATATTTATCATTTTCAGGTCATTGAAAGTGCTCCTAGTATTTTTAACAAGATTAAAACAGAAATTAATGGTTGCGTATTTGAAAAAATAGTATACAGTCGTCTTTTGGCCATTAGACCACTATTCATGTTGAGAATTTCGACCAAGGTATAGACGACACGT